AGGTGGGGGGCGCACCAAGTCCTTAGCTGGCCCAGCTGTGGGACAAGTGCAAAGGGCAGTCATCACAGGAGACACTGTGCATGAAACCTAGACCTAACTCTGAGCTAACACCAAAGGTCTCAGTTCAGATGATGGCGCTGTGCTTCGAGCAAGGCCATATGTTGCCTAGACAACGTGCACTTCCTAGCAGGGGCAGCGATGTCCCAGGGGAGCATCGCTTCACCCATGGCCTAGGGACAAGCAGGCATGGGAAGGTGCCAGCCAGATCAGGAGCCTGCAGGTGGGAGGGGGGAAATGGGTGGCATCCTGCACACACCAGGTCCAGCACTGGTAGTGTCTCGCAGAGAGAGAACTTCTATCCCTGTCCACTGGAGTGGGGAGAGTGTTGGGGGCAGATGCTGCTTGCCAGAGAGAGTGCTACTGGGTCTCCTCCCCTGCCCCCCTCCTTCCCTTGCAGATGTCCATATATGAGATCAGTCTCCTCCGCATCTCCGCAATTGATTGGGAGCAAATTCTGCCTGAGTGCAGGTATGATTCTGTGTTGTGGTGTGGCACTGTCGTGTGGTTCCATGACCCCAGCCTCCTTAGTGGTGGCTTGTTGCAGGAAGGTGTCCCACTATGGAAGCTGGAGTAAGGCAGGCCTCTCCAGGAACCTTGTGAGAAGGACCAAGGGGTTCCTGTATGAGAGCATCATGGAGCTGAGAGCATCGTCCAACTGAATGCTCCAGACTGGTACTCCCTGTGTACAGGCTGTTTTTCAGCCCCCAGACCAAGTAGGCTAAGAGAGGAGCATGCAGCCCCTTGCAGTCCACCACCTGCCCCTGCATGTAGATAGGAAAAGTTATAGAACTCACCTGAAGTGCCCTCCCTGTGTTTGCCCAAAGCCTGGGAGACATCCTGGGTGTGGAGGACTGGCTCCAGAGTGAGGAGCAGGTCTTGGCTGGTGGGCCTGATTGCCACAATGATAGGGGGAGGCAGCCAAACCCCCCCCCCTCCCAGGATGGCATCCAGCTGTTCATAATAGCAGCAGCTGTGTGGTGCCACCCAGCAGCATCTGTTCTGCTCTGCTCCTTGGCCTTTTTGTAGGCCTGACAAAGTTCTTTCACTTTCATGTGGACCTAGTCCAGCATCCGGGTGCGTACTTTGTCGGCCAGCCTGGCCGACAATCTGGCCATAGACCTAATCATTCCTCTTTCTGGTATGGAGATCCTGAAGGTTGGTGGTCTCCTTCCAGACTTTGATGAGGCTGGAGCTCTACTGTGTCCCTCCTTGGCTGTCACTGTCCAGGGAGCAGAAGTGATGGAGCCATGGGAGACTGAGCGAGAATTAGGGAGTGTTCATGGCTCCCTCACTGGCTATTGTCTCACATAGGGGCTTGCAAAACTGCCGACATGCAAGAAGTCCTTCTGCTGCCAGGAGTTTAAGCTCCACAGGAGAAGGGGAACACTGGAAATGCCAGGTGTGGTTGGAGTGGTCAGAACTGCACTGAGAGAGTCCTCTGGAGGCCAATTATTTTGAATTAGCAGCACCAGAGCATCCACACTAATGCTATTTTGAAATAACTCCATAGTAGACCAGGGCTTAAGCTAGGGGTGGGCAATAATTTCTGAGCCCTTATGTCTGCTCCCTGCCTATGGGTCCAGTGGGGTGGCTTGGCGGATTGGATTGAAAGGCTTGGCGGGCTGGATCTTGCCCACCCCTGGCTTAGAGTAAGGTCCAACTCACTGTAAAGGTGGTAGAAACTGGCCCTTAGTCAGTAAGTCCTCTATAATGTATGTGAGTATTCTTATATGCACCCGATACTTCATTTGGCAGTGTTTACTGTTTCCCAGAAATGCATTTCCTTTGTATATATCATTCAGAACTGATTTAATTTGCAATTGAATTACAGAAATGCTTTTCCATCTCTGTAGAAGTGTACTGTTTATGTAAAGCAGGCATGTCCAAAGTCCGGCCTGCGGGCCAATTGCGGCCCGTGTTCCGATTTAATATGGCCCCCGCTTCCTCCCCCTCTCCTGGCTCCCCGGTGCTCTTTTGAACTGGTGCGCCCAGCGCGCCGCTTCCGGCCGCGCCGCCGCCGCCGCCGCCGCCGCCGCCGCCGCCGCCGCCGCCGCCGCCGCCGCCGCCGCCGCCCATGGCCTCCGCGGTCCTAGAGCCTGCCCTGTAGGGCACGTCCGCAGCCCCGCTCCCCCACTCGGCTGCGGGTTCGCCCTGCCCCCGGGCCGGCGTGCCCTGCGCTCTCCGCCCACCTCCGTCCCTGCGGGCCCTCCGCCTTGGGGCTGAGAGTGCGGGGACGGCCCTCACGCATGTTCACTTCTTCAAATCTGGCCCTCTTTGAAAAAAGTTTGGACACCCCGATGTAAAGGAATGGGAATTGTATGTAAACTTCTGTAAACTTGGAACAGAACTTTGAAAATATCTTAATATGTTAAATTTTCTGTGATTTTTGCATTGGGAATTTTGTTAGCCATCTACACTATGGATGTGTCTACATTGGCAAGATTTTGCACAAAAGCAATTGCTTTTTCACAAAATCTTGCCACCTGTCTACACTGGCTGCGAGTATTTTGCGCAAGAACACTGATGTTCTACTGTATGAAATCAGTGCTTCTTGCGCAAATACTCTGCTGCTCCCACTCAGGGATAAGCCCTCTTGCGCAAGTTTTCTTGCACAAGAGGGCCAGTGTAGACAGCAACGTTAATTTCTTGCACAAGAAAGCCCAATGGCTAAAATGGCCATCGGAGCTTTCTTGCGTAAGAGAGCGTCTACACTGGCACGGATGCTTTTGCACAAAAGCAAATATTTTGCTCAAAGGCACATGCCAGTATAGATGCTCTCTTGCGCAAATACTTTTAACGGAAAAACTTTTCCATTAAAAGTATTTGTGAAAAATCATGCCAGTGTAGACGCAGTCTATCCGTTTTAAACCTGCATGTCTAACAGAGAGATCTTTTATAATCATCAAAATATAAGGGCACATATTTATGGAATGAGACTGCCTTTAATGAGCCTTTTTAAAGGAGAGGTGGTGAAGTGATCCTCTTTGTGTTAGGATAGACATAATTGATTCCTGGTCATCCTAAGATACTTGATCTGGTTTTACTTGTCCCCTGTCTACTTAGGGTCTAAGATAGATGTTGAGAGAGTAGTTATAGGTTTACACTGTGGTTGAGATCCTGAGCCCTGATGTGGCTCTTTTATGCCAGATAAAAGGGCCAAAGCAGAATAAAGGGGACCCTAAAAGCTCTGTGTACACAGGGGAGGATTCCTGTGCCACAGATTTCCATGAGTCTGCCGTCCAAGGACTTCTTTGCAAGCTGTAGCACAGGGCATGTGTTGGCAGGACAAGCATGTTAGGGACAATGTTACAATGTACAGCACTGTGGAGATTCTAAGCTGCATTGTGTTGAGGCTTACCCTTAGGCCAACCTAGTGAAACTGTAATTTATACAGACACCAAAAGCTGTTTATGATGTGGTTGAGAGTTGGGAAATATATTTATGAAATAAATATCTCAAAGTGATACCACCCCAAATTTGACTGACATACAAATTATTTAGGGGCAGAGTTTTACAATGGAATGTTAGAGAAGGGATTTGCTTTATATTACAGTCATTTGATAAAAATCATCATGGAACTACATGCAACACATAACTTTGCCCAGTTTTATTGCATTAGTATCACCCATGTTTGAACTGGATTTTTGAAATGTATTTCAAATAACCTGAAGGTAAATATATAAGAACAGGTGAAAATACTTTTATTTATAAAAGCCTAAGTACCCCATCCATTCAATGTTCTGGGTGGCCATTCCATAAAGTAAAACCACATAATACAAATACCCATATAATGGAAAGGACTTCTCACCTTGATTAAAGTACTTGACATGTCAAATGCCACAAATAAGTTATCTATATATTTTCAGTCTTTACAATAGAGTGAATGCTGCTGTTTTAAGTTTTTCGAAATGTGAGTACTTAAAGTTTTTTGTTGTGCAAAAAAGCTTTTGCCTTGGTTACTGTTGATTTCAGTTGAACTAGAAGTACAGGGATAATGTATGCTTTTTAATTTGGACTAGTTGGTTCAAAGTTGTGAATCCATTTTCAAGAGTTGGAAGAGCTCTTCTAGTCTATGAAAAATCTATCCTATATGCTTCAAGTTTTTAGAATGAATAGATCTCATCCCCTTCAGCTGGTTTTTATTGAAAGGCATGTAAGAACCTAAAAATACATATGGACTCCTAATGGGATTTTTCCAGAGTGCTTAAATAGGTCCACTGCCTAACTCTCATTGATTTCTGTGGTAATTAGGCATGAAAACTGCTCAGGGACTTTTGGAAATACCTTATGGTCTCTAAGTACTCTTGTTTTCTGGTTACTATGGGCCAAGTTTTCAGTGTGTCACATCATTAGCTGCATGTAATATTTCATTTGTTATTAATCAATTTTAAATTAAATTTTTTTGTTAATTTTTAATTGAATTCCAATATCCATGCAAGTGCAGCTAGACACACATCATGATTAAGACATTATCTAGTAAATAGAAACCGGTGAATGATGTATTTCTTAACTTAATAAAAATCTGAAATTGCGAATCTGAATAAATGTATGCTGAGCCATATAATTCTTAAATAATTGTATGTAGTTACAATATGTCTTGCTGGTTAGCAAAAAGAAGTACCAACTCTAGTGTAAAGACCACGTTTAGTTGCAAATCAACATGTTGTATCAACCAATGAAAATGAATCTTTTTTTGGAAAATGAACCTAAGAAATTACAAATGTGAAACAAGACTGAGATCAGTTTAAAGTCAAGATTTCCTGCAAGGTGGTTTAAGTCATTATTAAAATCAATTTGATTTAAATCAGTTCTTCGTGGTTTGTCAGAATTTCAGTGTTCCATTACAATATTTTATTTATATGTTTTTTAAATTATATTTGGTGAATGTTTCATTCTCCTTTGTTCTGGTGGATATTGAATTTGTTGTTCTGTCATTTTAGGAGGTTACACAGACATTATTGGAAGACTTGAATAGTTACCATGAGAATTATTTTCCAGTTCTGAGATGCCTTCATGTTTTCACAAGTTCTCTTCCAAAGTATCCTTTGGGCAAACAGGTGAAGTATCATTCCCTGGACTTCTTGTGTTTCATGGCTTGACATCTTTACAGATTTGAAGCCCACCTTCTCCTTTCCTTTCCCCTCCTCCCTCCATGTCCTTCCTACATGCAGCCAGATATTTTATGTCTTTATTATGGACTAAGAGGAACAGCACATTGTTTCTTTAACAGTTTCTCTCATATTCTTGTAAGTAAACAGCAGAGGGCTGCTAGGGGAGAAGGAGATGCATAGAACACCCATTGCCTCTGTGATTAGGCTTTTATACATCCTGTTTCTCATATGTGGTACAGACAATTTTCCATTCTTTCTGCCATCAGTCAACTAGTTACTAATGGTTGGATTCAGATGAGAATTAACATGCTTGCATCAGAAACAACATAGCAGTGATGGGACAGTCATGTATACCCTTAGTTGTATTTTGACTTGTACCAGAGCTCTGGTACAACCAAACTCAGTTTCCCATAACATGCAGTTATTTTTGCCTCACATGCTCTTGTTAATGCTACAGAACATTCCATGATGTGCATTTCCCCACTGATTCTAGATGTACCAGATACTTTGTTATTAGATATGGATCTTAGCTGTGAATTCACTCTGGACTTTCCTAATGTTTGAGAATGTGGAATGTTTACATCGGGGGTTTTTATTCAGGTTCATTCCTAATCGCTGCATTCCTGTCATCTGAATGGACCGCATTAAAACATAGTGCTTCACGGCAAACACATCTTGACACCACTGAGGACCTAGTCTCATGAGATGCTGAAGGCTCTCATTTCAAATTGCAATTAGTGAAAGTTGAGAAAACACAGCTCCTCACAGGATTACTCTGATAGTCAGTCAGTCTTTGTTTTGAAAAGTGAATATAAAACTAATTACTTGTTTTGTAAAACATTTTTGTTCCCTTTACTTGTGTACTGGTTTACAGATCAGAGAGCTGCACTGTGCATGTTTGGGAAAGAGAGTATGGGAAACAGAAGAATATGGGTCAGCTGTTCAGTTAATGAGGTAATCTTTCAACTTTCCATTTTTGTGGGGTTTTTTTTGTTTTAGACCTATAGAACATCTGCCCTCTGTTTCTTTAGAACTTTATACTTAGAATGCTGCTTGACAAGTATTGCAATGGACTATGTTACTGATTGATTGAAAATAAAATTGGCTGTCACTTTAAATTTGCATGCCTACTCTTTTCAGTGGAACTGCCAGAAGCTATTTGAGGCTAGATTCTGACATTTTCTCTCATGCTGTTTACTTCCTGAGTGGACTCAATGATTTCAGTAGGACTCCTTTAAACATGAATGAGAGTATCAGAATCTGATCTTCGGTAATTTGTTTGGAATACAGGCAGTCCCCGACTTACGCGGATCCGACTTATGTCGGATCCGCACTTACGAACGGGGCTTTTTCGCCCCGGAGCTCACAGGCAGCGGTCAGCCACCTTGACCTCCGGGGCGAGAAAAGCTGCTCCCGGTGCCCCTGGTCTGCTGAGGACCGTCTCCAGCAGACCAGGGGCACCGCGAGCAAACCCGCCGGGGCTGCTGCTTTGCTCCCGATGCCCCTGGTCTGCTGGAGACGGTCCTCAGCAGACCAGGGGCACCGGGAGCAAAGCGGCGGCGGCGGGGTGCCGCGCCTCTGAGGCTTTGCAAAGCCTCCGCCTCCCCGGCTTTGCTCCAGGTGTCCCTGGTCTGCTGGAGACGGTCCCCAGCAGACCAGGGGCACCCCGA